TTCTATCACATGGGAAACACTGATATTTCAAAATTTGTTTCCATCCCAAACTGGGTCCCAAAGTCAAAACGTCAGAAGTTTTCGTACAGTGCAAAGTTTTACTTGGTGGGATTTGTGTTCTTCTGGAAATCTAGTTCCTGTTGTGAGGCCCTAGGTGACGGTGTTGAGGCGCCTAAATTTGAAAAAGTTTGGTGTGGTATACTTGTCACATGGGAAACACTGATATTTCAAAATTTGTTTCCATCCCAAACTGGGTCCCAAAGTCAAAACGTCAGAAGTTTTCGTACAGTGCAAAGTTTTACTTGGTGGGATTTGTGTTCTTCTGGAAATCTAGTTCCTGTTGTGAGGCCCTAGGTGACGGTGTTGAGGCGCCTAAATTTGAAAAAGTTTGGTGTGGTATACTTGAAAACTGTGCCAGAGTGGTAGGCTGTCACTTTCAATCATAAGGGGTTTCCTGATCCTGCTTGCGTGCTAAGGGGCTCTACAGGGAAGATGCGCCTCTCTTGTGAGGAGCAACCTGGTGGGTCTATGTGTGTGGGTTGTGATGTGCGATCCGGCTGAATTCTAAGAAAGGAAGTAGTGTTGTGTTGTTGTGTTGCAACAGGAACCCTTCATGCTTTCAACTAACTTCCTGGAGTGTAGGCCGTGAAGGCCAACGGTTGCCCATAATACTTTCCATCTCCTTACAGATTGTCTCTTCCGCTTCTCCAGTTTCTTGCATCTGAGGCTTTCCTGTTAAATAATAAAAAGGCACCTGGGATTGGAGACCGAATTGTGACCTGATTTTAATTGATTAGACCTCGGTGTCGTTTTCATGTACCAGGTCATTTTACACCGAGTGTCACATTTCTTTTAAAGCTGGGCAGTTGACCTTTGGCCGGCGTCGGAGGAAGCGAGCCCATTACAAGAAGCGAAAGTGAAGCATATAACTAATTAGTTGTGCTTTTAAAAAAACCTCCATAATTTATCCTTGTAAGAGAGAGAGATGTTGAGCACAGTGTAAATAAGTGATTGGAATCAAATGTTAAGCATCCCTGTAGGTTCAGAGTCCACTGAGGCTCTGTGGAAGTTATTGCATCACCTGCACAGTGCATTCTGGGAAATTCTCAGGAGGCATAGCCCCCAAAAAGAAAGGAGGGATTTTCAGCAGAGGTGGCTGAAATTCAGAATTTCTGTTCCATGGGAAATTCTGACCATTAGACATTTCCTGAATTTAAAAAAAAAATCAAAAATTTCAAATTTTCCCGGTGATATAAAAACTCAGCCTAGTCACTTAGGCCTGGTCTCCACTAAAGCAGAAGGTCGACCTCAAATACTCAACTTTAGCGATGTTAATTGCATAGCTGGAGTCGATGTTTCTTAAAACACAGTGGGAGGTTGATGGGAGCAAATGCTCCCATTGGCTTCCTTTATTCCTCATGAGGAGCAGGAATACTGGCACCAATGGAGGCACCCTCTGAGTTTGATTTAGCACGTCTTCACTAGACCTGCTCAATCAAACCCGGAAGATTGATTGCAGCAGCATAAATCTTCCCTCTAGTGTAGACGTGCCCTTAGGTAGTTGCTAATAGAGACACTTAATTGGAGGTGATTGTTGATACTTGGGGGGCAGTGATTGGGTAATGAGGTAATTAGCTCACTAAGGGAAAATATATAATTGGCAGGAACAGGAAGAAAAGAGGGAGAGCGGAGAATGAACTGGGTGTGGAAGAGAAAGCTGGGTGGAAGGCTTCTCTTCACACATACTTGTACTGTGTTTTCCGAAGCTGACAATGTAAAGGTGAAAGATACACCCAGGGAAAATAAATCTATCTATCGTAGGGTTAGAGTAATAGACAACCCAGATGCGCCCAGAAGCTGGGTGCACTGCCCTGAAATGAACCTCAGTCCCATAAGCTCTTTGACCAGCCCATACGGTTATGTGTCAGCCTCGCGTTTGATTGAAAACGTTCAAATAGGACTAGCCCCTCCTCCCACTCCGATGCCTTTCTCCACACTGACTCAGGCGCGATATCTTTTTAAAAGCACTTAGAACCTTTTGGCTTGTGATGCGTATTTTCAGAAGCCAGTAGAACCAACCCCCCACTTGCTGTTTACTTTGTGCCATGCTGTGTCATTGGCCATCAGATCCGAGAGTCGTTTGCCATTTCGGCGTTCGCTGCAGGGTTACTGGGTGGACTAATCAGAGTCGTATGAAAGTGCCCATTGGGTTTTCCCCTCCTTTGGCTCCAGGACTAGGATCGCAGTATTTAACGGCTAATCCGGACGTCCGTTGGCTGCTTTTTCTTTTTTAATCAAAAGCGATTGCTGTAAAGTTCCCCTCTCTCCCCATGGCCCAACGCAGGCAGCAGCTTGGAGGCTGAACTCGGCGAAACAGGCAGGGAATTGGCTCCGAGGTCCGATCTGGATACGAAATAAATAAAGCATTGGCTCACTCCGCAGCAGTGGGCCCAGACTGAAAGCAGCCATGTCCTCGGAGAGACTGCAGGTAACGGGAGACGCACGGGCAGGTGATAAAAAACACAATGGGGTTGAAAAGAACAGTGCTCGTACTGAACTATAAAACCCCGGTGGCCCACTGCATTAGCATGTTCGGAAGTGATGCTCAGCAGGAGCGGGGAGGAAACGGTTTCAAAGCGAGAGGGGGTGCCTGGGAAGCAAAACGGCGGGGCATGTGGCCGAGGGACGTAGACAGAAGTGGGTGTTGAAAGAACCAGGGTGCAGCAATTCGGATCAGAAAGGGAGGAGAGGAAAGCGTGCCACGGTTGCATACGGCAAAGGGACGGCTGAAGTCACACGGACTGATGCATGTCCGGGATGAGTGCTGTTGCTGTCGCAATCCTGAATGCGCATATCGTGGATATAGGGTGTTCTAGGCAGATGTGTGCCTGGCTGCGGCTACAAAACAGACGCTGGCTGAGGATAAGAAAGGGGGTACATTTATATGGGGGTCCGGACCTTTCCAGGACCCAATCCCTGATGCAAGCAGGGACACACCTTCATGACTGTCCTGTGATAGGAGTCAGTGTCCCTGGATTCCTAGAACAGCTGCGAGGCGTTGCCGCCTAGAAAGCATGCAGGGTCCTCACCAGACTTCCCCCACGAGGGCGTGCTGAGTCGGGGACGATGAAAAGAACAGGGGCAAGTTTTTCTGCCCCTCCCTGGCTGTGTCCAGACTCAGGGTTTTTTTCGGGAAAAGTAGCCTTTTTCCGAAAAAACTTCCCCTGCGTCCAGACTCAAGCCGCGTTCTTTCGAAATTAAATCGAAAGAACGCGGCTTTTCTTTCGATGGTGGTAAACCTCATTTCACGAGGAAGAACGCCTTCTTTCGAAAGTTCCTCTTTCGAAAGAAGGCGTTCTTCAATGTAAATAGGGCTTCTTCGAAAGAGAGCATCCAGACTCACTGGATGCTTTCTTTCGAAAAAGCAAGCCGCTTTTTCGAAAGTTCAACGTGCAGTCTAGACGCTCTCTTTCAAAAGAGGCTTGCAGTCTAGACATAGCCCCTGAGAGCAAGTGATCAGGCCCTTTGTCACTGCTGGAGAAAGATTACCTCTGCCCCCGCTGTCTTCTGCTGCCCTGTGGGAATTCCGAATGCCTGTTCCCGGTAACAGGCGGGTAACAGGCGGTAACACCTTCTCCCAGCAGGGCCAGGGTTACAAAAACTTTCCCCTGCCCAAGCCGGTTGTTCTGGAGTTCACTTTCTCCCCTCTAGCTATGAGGCTGCCTTTAAGTTTGTCCTTAACAGCTCATGCATATTGACAGTCCTGATTCTGCAATAGCCTCCGCTTGGGGCTGGTAGCTTCTTCAAATGGGATTTACCTCCCATGGATTGAACCTCTCTAGTCCGGCACCCTTGGGAGAATTTGCCGGCACCCTCTCTAGTCCGGCACCCTCGGGAGAATTTGCCAGACCACGGGAGGTCGAGAACTGGAGAATTTTCCAGACCACGGGAGGTCGATACTGTCTAGCAGCATTACCAACACTTTCGCTGCTTCCTGGGCTCTGCGAAGACATTGAGGAGTAAATTAGAACGAACTAACAGCACAGGACACTGCGAGTGAGTCTACACAGCAATGTTTTTCGGAACAACGGCCGTTATTCTGAAATAGCAGTGTGAGCGTCTACACAGCAATTCCGTTATTTCAAAATAAATTCAAAATAACAGACGGTTTATTCCGATTTCTGTAAACCTCATTCCACGAGGAATAGCGCCTCTTCCGAAATAGCTATTTCGGAATAGCAGTAATGTGGACGCTCCACTGCTGCTATTTTGAAATAGCTCCTGCCCAGGGCTATTGAAGTAATTACTCCCCAGTGCCTCCTGGGGCTTCAAATCAAGGTGGTACATTCACATTAGGGGAGCCTGCCTCGGATTCATTTGGAGGCTTCCCTGTAGTGTAGACGTGCTATTCCGAAATAAGCTATTGCGGAGTATTTCTTCCAGAATAGCTTATTTTGAAATAAGTGGGCAGTGTAGACGTACCCTGAGAGCCAGGACTGGGGGCAATAAAGAAACTTTATGGGACCACGGGAAACTTGGCCACCCCCATGCTAAGGGGCCATCCGGCGAACTCAAATCATGCCGAACCACGGACGTTGCCGGACCAGAGAGCGCCGGACCAGAGAGTACCAGATGAGAGAGGTTCAACCTGTAGTGATTAGATTATTTCTCTTTACAGGGAATTAGGCCTCAAAGCCAAGGGATTTAGACACCTCATGTCCATAGGAATCGGTCACAGCTCTGGGCCTAAGTACTGGCGAAAGGAGCCAGGAGCGAGCTCCCCGGGACAGGGTGATGTCCAGGCGTATCTCACGGGATTTTCCAGGCTCCGCCCCCTCAAATCTGCGCCTATTGAAATCAACTGAGAAGCTCCTGTTGATTTCAGTGGTGCAGGGGGATCAAACCCAACGCAGATGGGGTTTGGCTATAGCCTGTGCCGTGTCCATAGGAATCGGTCACAGCTCTGTGCCTAAGTACTGGTGAAAGGAGCCAGGAGTGAGCTCCCCGGGACAGGGTGATGTCCAGGCGTATCTCACGGGATTTTCCAGGCTCCGCCCCCTCAAATCTGCGCCTATTGAAATCAACTGAGAAGCTCCTGTTGATTTCAGTGGTGCAGGGGGATCAAACCCAACGCAGATGGGGTTTGGCTATAGCCTGTGCCTCCCTGGCAGAATCCGGCCCAAAACGCGGAAGGGGGTCAGGTTATTTATATTGTAGCCATTCCCAGGGTGCAAAGTTTGGCAGGAGCCTCAGAATAGCGGCTCCTTTCTGGCTTCGTGCTAATCTCAAGACTGGGTTTCCCGCTTGGATTATTCCTCGTGGACTCGGTTTTAAAACGAGAACGGCAGAGCCTCAGCGCCTGGTCCGTGGGCCGAGAGAAATCCAAGCCATGGGAACAGACACTCTGCCGTGATGGCTGGTGAGGAGTTGTCGCTGGGTCTCGAGGAATCCCTCGAGAGCTTGTATTTTTAGCGCTGTTCCCATTTTTTCCGAGCAACGACACGTCAGTCATTAGGGTGGGAAAAAGAAAGGACAACACGGCAGCCAAAGCTCTTATGCTCAGCAACTTCCTCTCTCTCTCTCTGAAGCCAGGTCTACGCTGGCAGAGAAAATAATAGAATCAGAGGATACAGGAATGGGAAGGGACCTCGAGAGGTCATCGAGTCCAGTCCCCTGCCTTCACTGCAGGACCAAGCACCGATCATCCCTAGCAGGCGTCTGTCCAACCTGCTCTTAAATATTTCCAGAGATGGAGATTCCACAACCTCCCTGGGCAATTTATTCCAGTGTTTAATCACCCTGGCAAGCAGGAAGTTTTTCCTAATGTCCAACCTCAACCTCCCTTGCTGCAATTTAAGCCCATTGCTTCTTGTCCTGTCCTCAGAGGCCAAGGAGAACAATTTTTCTCTCTCCTCCTTGTAACACCCTTTTAGGTACCTGAAAACAGCTCTCATGTCCCCTCTCGGTCTTCTCTTTTCCAAACTAAACAAGCCCAGTTCTGTCAGTCTTCCCTCATAGCTCATGTTTTCTAGACCTTTCATCATGTTTGTTGATCTTTTCTGGACCTGCTCCAATTTCTCCATACATTTCTTGAAATGTAGTGCCCAGAGCTGGACACAGTCCTCCCATTGAGGCCTATTCAGCACAGAATTGAGCGGAAGAATTACAACATTGATGTGAATTACATTGCTGGAGTCAATGTACCTAGCATCGATTTTTCTGGGGCAGTCCCTCAGATGGAGGTCGATGGGAGAAATGCTCTGGTCAACTTCTCTTACTGTGAGGAGTAATGGTGCCAATAGGGGCACCCTCAGTGTTTGATTTATAGGGTCTTTACTAGACCTGCTAAATCGAACCCTGGATAATCAATTGTGAGAACATCTGGTCAGTGGAGCCGTGGCCTGAGCCATGACAGAATTGAATGTCAGGCATATCTTGTTTGTGACTTAGCCCAGATCCACACTAGAAAAGCAATACCAACAAATGAAGACATAACTTAACTCTGCTTTGCAGTGATACCCACAAAAACACTTGACCATAGTTACCCTAATGGTCTGCTGACACCCTGCCTAGCAGGCTAACTGGTACTGATTCTTTGTTTCCTTGTTCTCTCTTGGCTGGCTACTGATCCCGGTCTCATTCTTAGATTGTAAGCTGTTTGAGGCAGGGACCTTTTCGGTTTGCTGTTTGTACAGCATCTAGCATGGTAGGGTCTTGGCCCAGACTTGGGGTTGGTTCCCAGAACAAAATAAGCTATCTGGACCAAAGTACTTTCATGCTGGTATAACTACATCTCCAGTAGGGCTTTTGTAGGTATAGCAATGCTGCCAAAAAGCACCTTCCTACCCACTCACAAACACTCAGCAGTCCCTGCTTTACCAGCAAAGGTTTCTAGTGCAGATCTGGCTGGAGAGCCTCACCTACCGACCTATGTTTTACACATCAACTCTGAATTTGACACATGAGGCCTTTTCTAAACTGTCGACCGTAGGCTGTGGACCTAAGTTATGCAACTTCACTACGTGAAGAACGGAGCTGAAATCGGTGTACTTAGGTCTGCTTAGCACGGCATCTTCATTGCAGTAAGCCGACAGCTAACACTCTTCCTCCAACTCCGCTTTTCTTCTCATTTTGGTGGAGTAGCGGAGTTGATAGGAGAGCACTTAGCGATCGATTTATCATGTCTCCATTAGACGCGATGCATCAACCCCTGCACGATCAATCGCTGCCCGTTGATGCAGTGGGTAGTGAAGAGTCTACCCCAGTTTAAAGAGTCCAAACTGATCTAAGTTACATGTGAAAGGGGCTGGAAAAAAGATGTAAATTATATCTAATTATTTCCCCTGTGATTCATCTCTGAGATGGGCCCCACACATTTTACACTGAAAGTCCATATTTACCAACAGCTGCCACACACTGTAGTATCCCACATGATCACAGTCTCCCCTTATAATTAGGAAAATAAACAACTATATTGTCCGTGGGGTT